AGGGCAGGGGGGGATGGGAGCAGGGGGAAGGGTTTCCAGCTGGCAGAGGGAGCTGGAGCTGAGATGGGAGGGAGAAATTCTGGGCTGTGAGGGTGGGGAGAGCCTGGCCCAGGTTGCCCAGGGAAGCTGTGGCTGCCCCATCCCTGGGGGTGTTGAAGGGCAGGTTGGATGGGGCTTGGAGCAGCCTGGGCTGCTGGGAGGTGTCCCTGCCCATGCAGGGGTGGGACTGGGTGGGATTTGAGGTCCCTTCCAGCCCAAACCATCCCATGATTCTATGAAGCTTTACCACTGGCCTTGAGACTCAGATGCCACAGGAACATCCCTCCTGCCTGGCAGGACAGGCACAGACTGGGAGAGATGGGGGCAGTGGGGGAACTGGGCCCCGGCCTCTTCCTCAGGGTCTGCATTGGCAGGAGGGAAGGAGCAGAGAATGAGGAATGCAAATGGAAAGCAGAGTAGAAGCAAAAGGGTGTGAGAAGAGAGACAGGACGTGCTCAGCAGTTCCTCAGGCCCCTGGCTGTGGATCATTGTGAGTCACCAAACCCACCCAGCGCCACATGCAAAGAGCCCCTTGTTCCTCCAGAGCAGCACAGGGACCACCCCAGTTTGGAGGCAGCAAAAGAGGCCAGAGGAGGGAAGACACCAGCCCTGCAGAGCTGGTGGGTGGGGAGGCTTCCAGGTGGGACTGGGTGGATGCTCAGGAAATGTGAGGGCAGCAACAGACCACAAAGTCACCCGGTACAACCCAGCACCAGCTGCTTGTAAAAGGTGGGTAAGATTCTTCTCAGGTCATTGGTGTTGGGCTCTGCTCCCCAGGAACAAGGGATGGGACAAGAGAAAACGGCCTCAAGTTGTGCCAGGGGAGGTTGAGGTTGGATCTGAGGAACAATTTCTCCCTGGCAAGGGTTGTCAGGGCCTGGCCCAGGCTGCCCAGGGCAGGGGGGGAGTCCCCATCCCTGGAGGGGTTTCCAAGCCCTGGAGATGGTGCTGAGGGACACGGGGCAGGGGTGGCCTGGGCAGGGCTGGGGGAGCAATGGGACTGGAGGATCTTCAAGGTCTTTTCCAACCAGAATGATCTGATGGTTCTAGGCTTGCCCTCCGTGATGGAAACAGGAGTGTTTCACAAAACCCACTGAACAAACTCAGGCCCAACTCCACATGAGTATCTGGAGGAAAAAGGGTATCAAAGAACTTCATGGATGGTTCGGATCCAGCCCAAGATCTGCGGTGGGAGCCCAGCTCTGGAGACTGTCCCATCCCTTATTGTAAGGAGAAGAAAATAGCCCCTGGTGCTGCTGGAGCAGCCCCTGCCCTTCACACCCACCTGCTGAGCCCAACTGCCACCCCAGGAGCTGTGTCCTCAAGGTCAGCAGCGGGCAGGGGCAGCAGGGATGGAACTGCCTGGATGGTGTGAAATATTCCCGGTGAGCCCCTTGGAGGCCACCCAGGGGAGACAGCTGGGACGGAACAGTCACGCGAGCCCCGGGCTCCTCAGAGCCACCAGCAGGCACTGCAGAAGGTCACTGCCCTGGGTGAGCACTGGGGCTGGTCCTGGGCAGCTGCAGGAGCAGCAGCATCAGTAAAACCTGATGGGGATGATGATGGTGGGAGCATTTCAGAGCCACCTTCCCCAGGGTGGGCGCTGATGGCAGCCACAGCCTGGGGGGAGGAGAAAGATGTCACTGCAAGCACAGCAACTCAAATCCTTTCCTTCAAGGAAGCTGGGACTGTCCCACTGTTCCTGAACATTTCTTGTCCACGTTGGTGCCCAACACACCTGGAAAGGGGGAAATTCAGGCTTGTGTTTTTTCTCTCAAGGGAGGGTGGCAGGAGCCACCGTGTGGATGTGCTGAGCTGCTGGTGAGGGGTGAGGGCAGGAAGGTGCTCAGCACCTGCACCCAGGGTTTGTTTCCTCCACAAATACCTGGGAAGTTCTCCCTTACCAGAAAAACAGGGATTTGGCAGAGTGGCTTGGCACCAGCCCTGCAGACTGAGGGTGAGGAGGGGCTGGAGAGCAGCCCTGAGGAGGAGGACTTGGGTTGCTGGGTGAGGAGAAGCTAAACATGAGCCAGCACTGTGCACTGGAGCCCAGAACCCACCCGTGTCCTGGGCTGTGTCACCAGCAGCATGACCAGCAGGGTCAGGGAGGGGATTGTCCCCTCTGCTCTGCTCTGCTGAGACCCCCCTGCAGGGCTGGGAACAGCTCTGGGGTTCCCAGCACAGGAAGGACAAGGAGCTGTTGGAGAGAGGCCAGAGGAGGCCCCAGAGATGCTGGGAGGGCTGGAGCAGCTCTGGAGCCAGGCTGGGAGAGTTGGGGTGTTCAGCCTGGAGAAGAGAAGGCTCCAGGGAGAGCTGAGAGCAGCTTCCAGTGCCTGAACCATTCCATGATTCCCTGATAAGGAGCCACTGGCTGGCACATCATCCTGGCTGGTGCTCGGTCCCAGCCCAAGCAGAAGGACTGCAGCTGCTGTGGAAGCTGCATCTTCTGAGCTGCCCACGTGGCTGCTGCTCCCTCCTGGCTCCATCCAGACCCTGCTCAGCCACCACTGTCCAGGCACAGGGAAAAACCTCAGCCTGGAGCTGAGCCAGGAGCACGGGCTGGCAGCACAGACTTGAAACCCAGGGTTGTGCCTCCACCAAATACTCTGTTCTGCCAAAAATGCCCCCAGGCCCTCCTGGCTGCCACAGTCACTGGGGCTGAGGATGACAAGAAGGAATTCTTTACAAACCCCTGAGGTACCAGCAGGCACAGCAAGAACCATCTCGTGAGGAAGCAGGTTTCTCCCTGCAGTGCCCAGAGCCACCGGGGGCCTCTCGAGGTCCTGCCCAGTTTTCCATCCAGAGGAGACAAAAGGGATCCCGTGGCTCCAGCAGCGTGTGGAGAAACTGACGCCAGCAGATGGAGAAACAGCCTCTGGTCCAGGAGGATTCTCTCTGCCCGAAGCACAGACCTTGGGAACCTGATCCTGGGACAGCTGGTCCCACGTCCTGGGGGGACGGAGCCAAACGCTGCCCTGGGCCTGTGATGTGAGCAGGTCCTTGGTGTCTCCTCCTGGGACAGCTCTCGGCACCACGGAGGGTCTCTGGGCATCAAGGGGTGGTGGTGGGTTTGTGGGAGTCACCTCCCCACTGCTGGGGTGGCAGGGGTCCCTGGGGACCCCCTGCTCTGGAGCAGGTGGTGGCACCACGTTGGGTGTCATGTTTGGTCCAACCTGGTTCATCCCAACTTCTCTCTGGGCTCTCACCAAGCAGAGCAGAACTGAAGGAGCTGATGGAAGGAAAGAGCCTGCAGGCTGCACTTCTGCAGGATCCCAGCAGTGCTCAGCTGATCCATGTCGTTCAGTATCTACAGGGGGGTGTGTCCACCAGGACACGATTCCCTGGGATGCAGCTGGATGTGCCAGAGAGAGCAAGGAGGAGGGGATGGTCCTGAGGGGAAACGTCCCATGCCTGGCAGTGTTGAAGGGCAAGTTGGATGGGGCTTGGGGCAACTTGGTCTGGTGGGAGGTGTCCCTGCCCATGCAGGGGTGGGTCTGGATGAGCTTTAAAGTTCCTTCCCACCC